ATTACTAGCCCTAGCCACTAGCCTTAGGCCAATATGCATCAACAATGCAATGTCCTTACAGTTTGTCACGTTGCGACTCATTGCCCCTTGCAATGTCGACGTTTCATTGAGTCTTCTGTTGTTGATTGGCTGCTCCACATCTTATGGTCACCGCCGATTGCTCCCACTACACAAACTGCTCATCCTCATCGCCACCGGCGTCTCGGCCCTTGTCTCGATTTTAAGCCTCGCTAGGCTCCGCTTGTCAAGGACTCCCTCCCCCCTTGCTGACACCTCCACTCGGCTGACTGGTGTGGGCTGCTCCCTTCCTAATGCGAAGTGGGGAAGCTGCAAGTCTACCAGAAACTGCTTGGCAGGATGTGGCAAGTCCGGGCAGCCTCACTCAGAACTATCTCCAAGGTCGACGGCAACTTCCCAAGCACTTTGTGCTGACATCCTTCAGAACTAGGCAGTCATGCTGCTCCTGTCGAGGTAGCGACGCTCAGTTCCCACGTTCTCGCAGCTCGGCGTCCCAACACACTGTGCCAGCTCATCCTCTGAAATTTTTCTTCTCGGATCGAGTCGTGTGCCATGAGCCTTTCTCCGACCAATCTCTTGCATCTACGTGGCTGGTGCCCGTGCACTTGGGTGACTGTCATGTCCTCATGCACTGTCGCGGCGCTTCCACATTCAGCATGCACCTCGTGCCTTCTCTTTACTTATCACAGTAATTATAGAAATTAGCAAAATTGACTTTTTAACCACTGGAAATGAGCGGTCTAGTCAAATAGGTGAATTGAAGTCCTTGCTGCGATTGTTTGCAGCAACTTAAAAATTTTTGAAGGATGGCCACTGGTAATCTCCGTGGGGCTATAACATTTAGCTAGTTTAGCAGACAAAAAATGAAATTGACACACAAAACAGCGCATCTACCATTCACATCAAAAACTCCCTTAATGACGACACTGTTTCCCTTGCATCGAGGGAGGAGTGTAAGCAAGCGTCAAGAAGCAGCATTGCAACGGGAAAGCACAGCCATGAAACAAAGTAATGGTTGGTACAAGCGAAAAAAAACAACAGTGCGTTATTGAGAGTGTTCTTGCTAAATTAGCCAGATTTTATGTACCCGTGGTGATTACCAGTGGCCGCCTTTGAGAAATTTCAAAGTGGTTGTGGACCATTTGCAGCAAGGATATGAATTCGCCCATTTAACTCGACCACTTATATCCGCTGGTTTAAAAGTCATTTGCGCTGATTCCTATATTTACTGTCATAATAAATGTATGTACACGTGGTAGATGTCTTCTGTCACAGTAAAGGGAATGCCACAGGGGACATGCAGATACTTCCTTTCTGTAATTTTTCAATAATTGTGGACACATTCTTCAGAACACCCTGTGTATTGCATAGTACTATAAATAAAAATTGGTATACTTGTCATACCCAACCTGCACAATGTTTTTTTTAGCTGAAATGAGGCTTGTGCAAATGCCATTTTTTTGTATCACAGGAAGTGGAAGTAACTTTGTATTGTAGCAGGATATGACGTTTGGTGGAGTGCAAGTAACAGCCTGTAAAGTATGTTAAATTTTAAAATTTACTGCGCTTGGAGCATATAAGTCGGTATAACAAAATTTTAGACTTAAAAAATGAATCAATATGAGAATAATACCTTTATTTAACTTTTAAGTGGAGCTTCGTGGCAGAGCAGCTCTTCTGTGATGTGTTTTGATAGCTTAGCATCATTTTACTGCTGTAAAACCTTTTTTACAGAAGACTACTATTCAAGTACCTACAGTTGAATAGGTGCTTTCACAATTTAGCACCCTTATTGGTTAATTTTGAATAATTTAAAATTTTCAATAATACAAATTTGAGTTGAAGTGAATCCAAATACTGCATTATTCGTTCGAATATTCGAAGCATTTGAATATTTGCACAGGCTCACTATCTACAGTATCTATCTATCAAGCCACCTATGTCTGGGCACTTTGATGGTCATCTCCATAATTTGACATGCACCGAAAAATTCCACAGGGACATTTCTCCATGACAAACACCGTAAAAAAGTCATTACATGAATAACGCGAGCTACTTGTCACGTACGTCAAGAAACTCCTCCCTTCAGTCAGGTGTGGCACATAACTATATACCATGGCTTATGAAATGCAGGCATAAGCCACAGGTTGTATTAGGGTGTACTAGAATAGGGGAGTGGGACCACTGGAGCGGGCTGCAGGCGGCACGGTTGAAGCAAAATGCGCAGAAAATTTGCGGTGGCACTACAGTCGCCTTCACTTTAAGCTCCAGCTTATCCTAGTTGTTGCCCCTAGAGCAGTGGCCGGCACCACCCGTGGTGACTGAAAGAGCGCCAAGCTGTCGTCTGCCCAGTGCGGCATCGTCTGCACGACGCACCCCCACTGGCGCATTGTTTTTACCATTTGTTCGCTAGCTACTTTCAACCTTGTTAGTGCGAAGCGTTCCCTGCTGCTATTAGCCATGAGCAGGGTGTTTAGCGAAATTTACACAGTGCCTCCCCTTACTTGATTTATTGGCAACACTTGGTGTGATGCCATCCACGGCTTTGCACGAACAGTGCAGGATGAGCTTAAGATGTGACTGATGGGCGCGACAGCTGGCGACGCCGAAGCTGCCACCACCAGCCACCACGCGTGGCCGTAACTATGCCGTAACCATGGTAACCTTCAGGTGAAGGCAACAAAGGTGCCATCTTCATTTAATAAAAAAATGCTTCAGCGCAGAGCCCTGTCTGGACCTGTTCCCTCATTCTAGAATACTCTAGTTCGTATCAAGCCAGGAATGGCGATAAAAAACTTAAAAAAATCTTTGCTCAATCATATTGCGGAGGTTTTGTCACTGATTATGCAGAGATTATGCAGAGGAAAAATGGTAGGTGTAACCTTAAGAGACAAGAAGAGAGCAGAGTGGATTAGGGGACAAACGGGGGTTAAGGATATCATAGTTGAAATGAAGAAGAGGAAATGGACGTGGGCCGGGCATGTAGCGCGTAGACAGGATAACCGCTGGTCATTAAGGGTAACTAACTGGATTCCCAGAGAAGGGAAGCGGGTTAGGGGGAGACAGAAGATTAGGTGGGCAGATGAGATTAAGAAGTTTGGGGGTATAAATTGGCAGCAGCAAGCACAGGACCGGGTTAACTGGCGGAACATGGGAGGGGCCTTTGTCCTGCAGTGAACGTAGTCACGCTGACGATGATGATGATGATGATGCAGAGCTGGCATTGGCAGTTTTGTCTGTGAGGAATATCTTAGAGAAATGAAAAAATTTAAAATCACGGTTGCACAGTCTCAATAGAACGCAAGCATTCTGTGTGGAAGTCCAATAGTATTTGTCCACAGAGCTATTTCAGAGCTTGAAACTGCTTAAGCAATAGACCCCAAAATGATGTCATATTGCGACAATGTCCACTGTTGTTGCAGTGTTTGCTATTGACATTTGTAGCAATGTAATAAACATTACATATTAGCCCCTACGGCTCGCCAAACTGTGCTCAGCCATCCATCAACCCGAATAAATATGGCAAAAAACATTTCTTATGATGTGCCTATCATTGCACTGTAGCATGAAGTTTATTTAAAACTCACATCTGCACTATAAGATGAGTAATGACTAGGCTTGTGCGAATAGTGAATTTCAGGTTCAAAGCGAATAGTAATTTTGGTCAAATAATTTCAAATAGAATTCAAATGGTATGTATGACATAAAAAAAGAAGGGAATATTTATCATGACCACACTACCCTGCACAATGTTTTTTTTCTTTTTAATTAAAATAGGGTCTCTTTGCAAATGCATTTACAAAAGTCAAACCAATTGTGAGTAGTAGTGGGACTTGAGTTTCGGTAGGATGCGAGTGATAACCAGAACGAAACATAACATTTTAAAACATATAATACTACAGAGCATATCAGCCATCATAACAAGCTTTTAAGCTTCCTAAAATAATGAATTTATTTGAGGGTAATAAATTCATTTAAAGAGGCCCTGCATCACTTATTCAAGTGGCCATGGAATGGATTCACTATAAAAGCTTACTGCTTCACGAATTCACCGCCGCTAAATTTTAAAGACCCGTTTAGTATGAGTGGAGTTGCAAAGATTTGTCCCACACTGGGATTGCATTTTCTCTTCTCGTCCCGACGAAAGAGCTGGAAGCTAAACAGGGAGGGATGGCACGATGAAAGAAAATACGTCACGTGCGCCTCGTGAGCTTGAGCAGTTTTTCTTTTTTTTTATTGATCAAATAGGCAGCCTTTTAATGCAATTGCACACATATGCATGGACAAGTGGTGGCCTATCACGGAAGTCCCAGTAACGACCGGGCGCGCCATGCTCAATTCAGCCAATGGCTTTGACAAGTGACTTTTGAGCTTGTTGGGACATTTGCCGAGATGAGAGAAAGTTTTAGTTGACTGAGAATTTATTGTGAATTGTAAGCCACAAGCTGCAATGTAATATTTGGTTCGCATCTTTTTAGTAGCCTCGACTGCCGATCGGCAGCATTTTCTGACCATGCTCAATAAGTGTTGATGGGCCCCTTAAAATTTGAAAAGGAACTTCGCGGCAGAGCGAATTTCCCCTGAATAGGTGTTTTCACGGCTTAGGGCCGCTACACTTTAGTGAAGCCATCTTTAGAGGTGGTTACATGCAGATTAATATTACATCTATTCGTTCATTACGAATACTTCGAATATTTGCACAAGCCTAATACAGACGTCACTGTAGTTGACGTGCCTGGTAAGCCCACAACAAATCCCATTTCCAGGGGGAAACCCCAGAAAAAAATTCCTAGTGCCTGCTCACGACACTGCACCCATAACCCTCAGAATGCACAGAGAAGTGTGTTCACTGATTACCAACTGCTCTGCAGGTCATCTGACTGCCAGAGTTCTAGGTGTCTGCCGAGTTTTCTTTTTTTGTTTGTACCATATCAAACAAGTCAACCTTGAATACTATTAGAATGAGTAGTGTGTTGGCTTACATGTGCAACGCAGCCCTCAAATCCATGTGACACACCAGCATCTGGGTTAACCTTGACCTTGGTCTTGTCCACACCACCAACATACATGGGGGTATTGAGATTCACTCCTTGCGTGTGACCGGGTGAGCGTCCCATCTCTCTATGGCCGTCATTCACCACCAGTTCACCATTCTGAGCATGCCTTGATGCAGACAGGGTGATCCACTCATTTGCCCGAAGCCGTTCAGGATGCCTGATTATCGCTGGGCCTGCAAAAGTTAGCACACAGGACAGCAACAAAACATTGGTTATCATTCAAGCATAAATTCTGTTTTCCGAGAGGAAAAACACAAGATACATTGCCAAACAACAGAATATGGCACCAAAAAGTGAGCCGAGCAATGGCAACAAGGCCATCTCTCACTCTTTCTATGATACAGGATCCTAGATAGGCATTCTCATATGATAAGTGATTATTGCTTCATTACTTGGACAGCAGGAGTGAAGCCTCAGCTTTTTTGTAATGCCTTTCCGACAACTAGGTTGCCGACTTCCTCTCCCCTCACGGTACAGGCACGACAAAATGCGACAAGTAGAATGCTCACCTGAACCCGTGTCAAAACGAAATTCCACACTTCCATTGCGGATTCCAATGGAGGTAAAGTCTCCTTTCTGGTCAGGGTACTGGGCACAGTAGACTAGCAGGCAGTCATCCAGGTTGTTTGGCTTGATCTTCATGTTTACCTTCAGGCTGCTTTGGGAGTTCTTCGGAGTTGGGTATGCCGCAAAGGCATCATCAGCAAATGCAGGTTCCACAATGGACACCTCTGTAAAATTTGAGACAATAGGTAGCCACGTGTAGCTGAACAAGCACTCTGTCTATAGTGCAGCACAGATGCTACCTCTACCCATGCTAGTACATTCAAAATATCTATGCAGAACCTATGTGTAGGCACAATTCTTTTTAGGTTCCAATTTTGCATTCTAAGTAGCACTAGTGCAAATGAAACATAAATATATTACCTAATCACTTATGAAGAAGTTCTCTTAAGTACAGATTAACAGCGCGAGTACAGCACATGAGGATGGAAAAAAACTATAATGGTCAGTAGTACTGATCATGTAAAAATTGCTATTGGAACCTGAAGGTCAGACAATACTGATTTTGGTCATGCGCATGTTATGGTCGTAATCAATATAAATGAATCATTATAGGTTAGCACTGTTCATTATGCACGTCAATGTTATGTTCTCTTTACTATACACAAGCCTTCCTGCCTAAAGGCTTGTAAGAGTGAAATCAGACTTCACAACAAGGTCGCAATCAACACAAATGCATCTTCATTATAAAAGATATTATTTGCAAAGATACATTTGTTATACACTCATATTCTTGAAAAAAGTGGTCACTAATTCGATCATTATACAGTCGAGCCCACTTATAACGAACCTCAGCCTGACGCGGCATCTGTTCGCTGTATCCCGAAGTTCATATTAAATGAAACACTATATTTAAGAAAGTTGTGAGTGAGAACACAAACTTTTTTGCCCCAAAAAGTCTGTGATGCATGCGTTTAAAAGAGAAAAAGCAATAAGGGCGGTCTCAAGTTTATTTAAAATGGCAGCGTGCTCGTTCGCCGAGGTTCATAGCATAAGCTGCATGAGGCACTGGCTCCAAAGTTTTGTCGTTCTCGCAACCGATTCCTCACTCTTGCCGCGTACTTCATTCACAATGGCTTAATACGCGGTGTCGGCGTCATCATCAGCTGTAATAAAACCATCGCAATAGATGTCCCACCCGCTCTCTCATGTCGGAGTTGACGGCGCGCTGCCACAAATCGCCGCCGCAGTGGTTCTGTTCGGAAGCTTCAGGCACGGCATCGGACCCGACCTCGACAAAGTCGGCTTCGCGAAAATAGTTTCGCGTGCATATAGCCGTCACCGCCGCCCACGAAATATTCACTATCTCCACAGCTGAAAACTAGGACGCTCGAAGTGGCAAGGTGGCTGCCAGCTCCTCAATAGCTATGAGCAAGCGCTCCGCAACGCGGCACCTAACGCGTGAATTATGCCCAAGCCAAGCGGTCACACTTTCGGCGTTTTTGTTGAGTGGCAGGAAAAAGCGTGCAAGTCCTCCCGTCTGCGATCCTGACCACACACGCACACCAAGAGCGAGCAAGACGCGCAACGCGACACACATTCCAGAACGCATGGAACAGCTCTGGGCCCGTTTCTAGTCAGAAAACAAAACTAATTTGAGCCAGCGTGGCTGGCGTCGCGAAGCGGTGGAGACAAGCGAAGAGGTTGTGATCAAGAGAGAAGAGCATGTTTGCGAGAGAAGGGCAAGGAGTTACGATAGAGGGAAGAGATGAGAGGATACAGCGGGAAGGTGACCTTGAAAACCAAAACACGCAAGAAGGTCAGGTAGCTTGCTTGAAAGGTTTGCGAAATGCGCCACTCCCGCGTATAAAAACTTGAAAAGAGTGCCTGCGCACTGAGAGGTCAAAACACAGCCGCCTGGATCAGCGTGCACGGCGGTGTTAAAAAAATCTGCGGCCGTGGTCAAAAAATCATTTGTTGCGTCGGCAGGTTTGCGTGGTAGCCTCCCCGACTTCGATAATTCACGATTATTTCCACGCAAATTAACAGCCGTTTTCGTGCTTCCACACACGTGTAGAGGGCATGCTAAGCCGAGTGTGAAGTAAGCGAGAAGAGGTCCTAAACACGAAACGAATCGCAAATTGTCAGAATCGGTGGGGTAGCATACGCGCATGCACTAGACGCAGACGATCGGATAGAGTCCGTGGCCGACGATATTGGGAAATGGTCTGGTCACTCCAGACCAACGATGCAAACGACAGTACCAGCGATCAAAAAAGAGGGGAGATGGCGGACAGGTCTTTGAAAGATCGGTGGCAGTGTGAAAACACGGGCCTCGTCTGGCGATGCGGGGGGGTGCTCCAAGTAGCGGGGGGGAGGGGGGGGGTCAAAGAACAAAGGGGTGCGAAAAAAAAAAAAAAAAGCAGTCGGGGAGAGGCGGCAACTAAAGGGGCATGAAGGCAGGGTCGGCATTTAACAATAAGAATGTATGGGCACCTCGCCGATGCCTGATCAGTGGTCGAAAGTGGTTTCCCGGGAAGTTGGAAAAGCGCCGACCCCGTTCGCTGTAAATGATCGGCGACGCTCAGAGATGTTCGTTGTAGGTGTGATTTTGTGCCATTAAACCAATATATATTTTCACGGTCATGTGGATATTGTTCGTTTTTTATGAAAGTTTGTTTTAAGTGGGGCCGTTACATGTGGGCTCCTCGACTGTACTTGTATAACATCACGGTGTGACCACAAGTGCTCACACTGCAAGCGAGATTGCCGGCATATGTGAACATATAAATATATATAGTTTATTCGTAATTTTAAGTTCCCTCAAATGGAGGTTTACCTTTTTCACATCGAAGGCCTGTTCGTCCAAAAGGACAGTAGCAGTCAAATCCTCCACTTGGTCGGTTTACACATCGACCTTCACCACAGATCCCGGGGTAACAGGCCTCACCGACCTTCTCACAATCGCGCCCCGAAAAACCTGGTGGGCAGATACAGCGATAGCCAGCCTCTGTGGGTGCCTCTTGGCAGACGCCATCATGCAAGCATGGGTTCAGGGAGCATGTCTCGCATGGTGTAGTGCCCACTTGCTCCGAGTCCTTCACCAAGTCCAAGGTGCGGCTGCCAAACTTGATTTCACTCACGCAGCCTGCATGTCACAATACATGCAACAAAAAATGCCAGTCAGGTGAACTGTAAATGTGCCGTATGCTATATTTCCATCATGTTCAAACAGTCTGAGCTCTTTGAAGGAGATTTATTGGCCCGACAGTAGTCAAACCACTATTAACAAAAGTGCATAGTAGTTTAAACCTTGTCGTTATCAACCATCAATCTACATACTTTATTTTGTGGCAGCACTTTCTTGTCGCACGGCTGCTCTTTGACGTTTGCTTATCCTCCTTTCCGATGCAAGGAAAACAGTGTCGTCATTGAGGGAGTTTTTGAAGTTAATGGTAGATGTGCTGTTCGGTGTGTCAGTTTTCCAGTGGCCACCATTCAGAAATTTTAAAGTAGCCATGAACTATTTCAAAGACTTCAATTTGCCACTTTGACTCGATCATTTACTTCCACTGGTTAAAAAGTGTTAATTTTTATAATTACTGCCAAAGTTAACTTTTGTACGGATCTGAGGTTGCTTTCTGTCACTGTAAAGGAAATGCTGCAGGTTTCACACAGATCCCTCCTTTGTATATACTCGTATTCGAATTCGATGGATTTTAAAATATGGGGGATGGTCTATGGCTGCTGTCGTAAATGAGAACCAAACAGTTAATGGGCTCATGTTTCGAGCCAGGAACATAATTCGTGCAGAGGAAGTCCCCATTGCATTGGCAGCTTATCACCGCAGATTACAAACCATGAACTCCAACTCTTGAGGGGCCTGTCATAACATCATAAATGGCTGTGTCGTGAACCCAGCCTACCAACTATTGCAACCTTCTGACTATCAGAGAATCCCTGCATCCCGCCATGTTGTCTTGGCTCCTGCTTACAAGGGACTCGAAGGGAATGAGGCTGCCGATGCTGACGCCCGCGCACTCTCTCACTGGGCATTCCCGCTCGCCTACCCCAATCTGGACGACCTGAAACTGAATCCAGTATATTCTTTCTGCAGAACTGTGCCACATTACCAATTCGATCACAGCCTTTAACCACGCCCATGCGAAGGCCTAAGCAAAGCGGAGGAGTGGCTTTTAGTCCAACTCTTCACAAACACTATGTTGTGCCCGGCAGCACACAAACACTTTGATCCTGCCTTTTCCAGCAGTTGCTTACTGAGGGGAGAAGTCTTCATCTACCACATGGTGTGGGCCTGCCCCTGCAACCATGCTGTACCCCCAGTGCCCAACCCTACCCAAGAGGAGTGGGAGGCGACTCTGCTTGGCTGTTCTGACCTTCAGGCCCAAAAGTCCTAGATCTGATGAGCCCAGGCACCAGCCCACACCAACAGGATTCCGTACTAAGGATTCTCGCCCACTAGTTCTGAGTGCCATCCTCTTGTGAAGCGGTCCCTGTATACCTCGCTTGTTTCTCATGAATGTTTTTACCACCACCACAAGGTGACCGAGGATGCGTAATTGACGACGGTCACAATGACATTTTGCAGAATCTAGAATTAGGCCTGCTCATCAGAGCACATGGACAATGGTCAAGAGCCGGTGGAGATGACTGTCAAACGTTGGTGAAAAAAAAAACAATAGCCTCATCTAGGTAACATAGTCATGTGGACTACTTAAAACCACAATGAAGAAAGTCCATCATGCATTAGAAGGTGGCTGGGCCATCACATAGTACGAAAGGCATATTAACATATTTGCACAGTGCAAAACTAGGAGTCGTTACGACATAACTACAGAAGAAGAGACAAGGAGAGAAAGGCATATTTTTTAATCGGTAGAGGCCATCGGACGTGACAAAACTAGTTCCTTCACGATCTCTGTCGTAGACTGTGAATTACCAGTAGCCAGAATGTAAACCAATCTAAGAGAGGTAACTGGCACCTAATGAGCAGTCTAGTACGTCATCGTTAAATGGAAGTGGGTAAATGCCCTTTTTCATAATGTTGTCCAGATAACGAATACTTGGAGAACCTTTACTAAAACAACAGGTGATGCCCATGGGCTGAAAGAGAGCTCGACTATGTCTTTGGAGAGCTTTTCTTTTTACCTCTGTATTACGTGACAATCTGCCCCTGACACACAATTGAGACACCTATGAATGAGTGGAGTATCACCAGTGTGAATCAAATGAGTAACAATGTTGATTCAACTTAGTGGGTGATTTCCAAAATCGAATATGTCTTCAGAGGAGATAAAAACACTGCGGAGAGCATCAGCATAAGATCTTAGGTCAGGAGCTGTAATTTTGGCGAACTTGTCGTTAGATAGTAGAGTTGGAGTTCAGCGAACTCGTATGGTCGTTCATAGCTTAGAGCAGAGACTCCAAAGTCCTCCACAGGAACAACAAAGCGAGATCCAGGTGCACCCTCAAAAAGAGCTTGTAGAGCCAAGCCAAAGTTTAGAAGAGGAAGCAACGCACAGTTGTTGGAGCGTGTAATGATGGAGCTAGGGAGAGCTATTCGGCCCTCTAGCAGGACGTCATGAAGCGGGGCCACCACGTAATGACCATCACGAAGTGGTGGGCAAGGAGACATGAGCAGATAAGTTGCAGCATCAGATTGCAGTCGAACAAACTCAGTGCAGTGAAGTTGGGACTTGATATCTGCGGTGGTGTCAGTGCAGAACTGGAGAAGCGCCAGCCTCAGAATACCAGCGAAGCAGTCAATAAGCGCAGAATGAACGGTCAGAAAGTCCACTATGAGAATCACCTCGTGAAGGCACCCCACAAGTGCTTGGTGCTAAGTAGAACTAACGGATGTAACTTCCATGCTGGTACATCAAAAAATAAGGCACACCCGAACTTCAGTAAAGCACATCCGGAATGTACATCCGGTAAATCATTAGTAATGTGTCTCTCCACATGCCCCAATGACTATTACTAATCCTTTTGAGTAGGCCTATCGCACGTGACACTTTGGTCACTATATGTTCATTATACACACGCCACTTGAGCTTTCCATCATAGATAATTCCGGGGTACTAAACTGTTTGCACTTGGGGAATGTCTGTTGCTGGAATGAGAGTGAAATATTTATATTGTCTTGTGAGGATAATGTTGTTTGGTCCCTGCAAGTTGTCTTTTCGACCACTTTACTTTTTTCACATCAATGTCACAATCACTACAATGTACTTAGAATGGTATGTCCCCTACACCTTCCTTGGCTACATTATCTACTTGTCACGAATTTTACCTTGGGAGCGCTTGCTGCAGATGAAGTTGGGAGCGAGACCAGAGTCAACGGTAACACGGAAAACCCATTCTAATATCACACAAAATGGCAAAAATCTGAACAAATCCTTAAAACACAAAAAATAAACACAATAACAAGCTATATAGTGAAACCAGAACCAACTTCAATCCGGGTCAAGTTCAATTCTGAGCCCTAATCTTTCTCTAGCAAAAATGGCATTTTGGTAACGAAACATTTTTACAGTTCATCCTATTGTCATGTCAACTCTGTGTCCTTGCTGTGTCAAGGGTTCATCAAGTCTGTCATCGACGTCCTCCTCAAGCTCTTATGATAATCGTCAGTAGGTTCTGCCCAATGTGCCGTTTGTCTTCCCTGCCAGTGTCCCGGCTTTATCCGTCATTTTCGGCCCGCTTGGTCAAACCCACCTCGTCAATTGATGACTCCCTTTGATGACTGGTATGGGCTGCTACCATCCTAGAGCAAAGTGGAATGGCTGCAAGTCCACCAAAAAATGCCAGGCAAGGGTGTGGCAAGTCCAGGCAACCTCACTTGGGAGGAACTCGAGGTCGCCGGTCACTTCCCGGACCTCTCATGCCGACATTCCTCAGAACCGGCTGTCTATGCTACTCCCGTCACTGTAGCAACGCTGGTTTTTCGCGTCTTCGCAGCTCGAAGCCCGACAGCACAGTACCAGCTCATCCTCTGATTTTGCATCATGGCTCAGGTTGCGTACCACGAGCCTTTTTCTGACCAATCTCGTACATGAATGTGGCACGTCTGCCCACCATGGGGGTTTCACGCACGTGAGCCACTATACAGCATCCGGCACATGCCTCGTGCCCTCTTACCTATGACACTGGTGCTTTTAATTAAGTTAATGAAGGATTGTGCACTTGTGCCTTAATATGCTTCACTGCATTATAAGATTTTGTACAATTAAGCTTAGTCAAGTTAATATGCCATCAAAGGGAACTGACAACTGAACAAGGTGATAAGAATTTTTTTAGAACACCATGAAATAAGATAGCAGCATAAGCTTGCTATCATATTCTGAAGGAGGGCTTGACAATATCTTTGGAGAGCGATTTTTCTACCTGTGTACTACGTGATTTGTTGCTGCTGACACACGGTAGGGACACCTATGGGTGGTATTGGATAATATTCTGTGAGAGCCATCAATATTTTAAGGCATGCACGCATGTGGCTATTATTTGGTCAGTGGCTCGTATAGCTTTTCAGAATCAATGCCTTTTTTGACAGCTTCATTCACAACACTCCCGTTTTGTTAGCATAAATATTTCCAAGGACACAGCAAAAAACTCCATGCAAGTTCAGAGAAGCACATTTGAAGGGTGTCGTACAGCATTAAATATCTATCCAACCAAGATGGCAAGTTTGGTGATTTGGTCAAAGCTAATTTTCTTCAAACAGGCTGCTACTAAGTGACCTTTTTACAAGTTGCTCATTCAGCAGCATACACTGTTTCAACAATATGGTTTATCCACTGTGGTGGTGAATGGGAGTTCATTGTTTAGTCATGTACTTTTGTATGGGCTTTTCAAGGGCACATGATAACTCTGATGTAGCAAACATCTAGATTCACTTCCACATGTTCAACAATGCGCTAACACAACTTCACTAAACAAAAAAGATAAGTCGTGCTTACCCACAAAGCCAATGTTGTAGCCATTATCAGGTGATATTTTGTCAAAGCTTGGCACGCTCCCCACAAACAGAGGCTGAGTCAAGTCCAACCCCATCATCCGTCCCTGAGATGTTCCGGTAACTTCTGACTGATCGTCAACAGTAAGTTTGGCTGCAATTAGCAATAAAAAAACACTGTAATGTTGGTTCAGTGTCAGAAACAATATAGTGCACACATGTAAGCTTATAAATTTATCTAATGAACATTTATTTAACCTTAGAGTTCGTGCAGCACTAGAACTCAGTGGCTTAGCCCAGCATGCTGCTTCACACAGGCAGAATGATGACACTGCAGTAATTAAAACAGCGATTTTTGTTTCTTTCAGTCAACATTTCAACGTAAGTAGAGAGTAATTTAGTTTTTAAACATACATAAACTTGCTGTTTATTGCCACAGATTTGCCGTAATACAGTTGAACTCCTTTATAAAAGGCATGCTCTGGGCAGCCATTCTTTTACATATGAGATGTCTTATATGCAGAGTACCTGGTATGCATTTTCATATCAACCCGTATTTTGCTGTAAGCACATTGGTGTCTCTTATACCAGTTTGTTTCATATATCTGTGTCTCTTATAATGGGCTCGACTGTATTTACGCATTTTAACTATCCTGTCTCAGTAATGAAGAACTGTGCAAAAACCACAGCGCATGCAAGAAAGAAACGACACCTGTGCAAACAAAGGCTGAGTCAAGTCCGTGGGTGTCTGTGTCTTTCATGCGCTGTGTTTTTTTGCAAAAATTTTTGTTACAGAAATAATGCACAGTCTAGCCTTTAAATGTGTCAGCCAACTTAATGTAGTAATGTATGTCACGAAGACAAATGAGCTGTTATGATACAACTTCTAACGGAAAAAAACATTCATGACTGCGTCTGCTGTGAACTATATTCACAGAAATTCTCATATAATTTTCATGCTCATAAATATTTTTGGAACACCTTTTGGTGTTTTTAGTAACAAGGCTGCCTTATTCATCAAGAGGCAATATTAAGCACCATTTTAAGTATTCACAAAATGACCTTTATTGAACTGAAGTACCTCTTCAATTTCCTGCTACAAAATATTTTGAAACCTTGAAGAATGAAAGTATCATTTTAGCCAAAAGAAAGAAAAAGATGAAAACTTGCGATGAGAAATATGCAAACATGGGTTCGACAAGTGGACTTGTCTTTTTGTGCTTTCAGCAGCAAGGCTGACCTGTTGGCGGCGCCCGAAATATCTTTTTTTAATTCTCGAAGTGTGATTACAAGGTGCTTTCAGGTGTGTGCTTCACAGCAAACTTGAACTTCTCGACAGTTACAGGCTTCAAGGTTTGTCAGCCACAGAGACCAACCATAGCAGGCACTCTGCAAGATCACAGCGTTCGGCGGTGGCTTCGCTACACTATGCAGAGGACACGTCATGTGTCGCTATGCATAATGCATGTAGCACAAAATTTGCTATGCGCACCATGACGGAGCTGAAGTGCATGCTCATGCTCATGTGCCGCAGTTTGACCAGGCTACACAAGTATGTATATTGCACGAAACTGATTTCTTCAGTGTCAGCTTGACCAAGATTTAGAGTGCACATTTTGAAGCACTCCAAATTAACTCAGCACAAGCAATCTCTGTTAAAGTGTCTGCGTAAATGAGTAGCATTCTCTTATCACAAAGCAACAATTGGCCGAATAAGGCATGCACTTCTGAAAGATCAAGCATGTATTATACCAAGGGTTGCCTCAGGAAACAAATACATTTTTATTCCCTAACTAGGTGCACTTCATTGCAGTGTAGGACTACTATGCTGCGAAACCACCTATCCAAAAGAGGAAATTCACACAGCTGCAAAGACACATCAAGTGTGCATATTACCTCCTACAGCTTGATTACTATAATTTCAAATTCAAGGCCTGTATACAGGCTTATTGCAATAGGTGCAGCAAGCTTGAAACCATAATGTATATTTCACCTCCTACAGCAGCTGCTATTAAAAGCTGCTTGCACTTTGCTTCTAACCAAATTTGTGACATTTGTACAAGCTTTGTTCTAGTTTTTAAAAATATTGGGCAAGTAAGCTGGGTCATGACAAAAATGGCAATTTTTCTTTACAGTACCGTAAAGTACTAAATGTAGACTATTCAAATGATTTGATTCGAAATTAGATTATACACTATCACAATTACCTTTGAATTTACTTCGAACCTTGCATTTACTATTTGCCCATCCCTAATCCCTTTGAATAGCTAACAGCAACTACTGAAGTAATGGCCAACAAAAGTAATTTTGCATATAATTTTCACATAAAGTTCGGGGAGATCTTTTTATGTATAGATATTAACTCCTATAGATATAAACATAGCAAATAAAATTGATACTTATGACACTCTATAATTTACTTCAGTTACCAAAAAAATGCCAGCATTCTTATAAGCCTACTTTTGAATGGAATGCATGCAACCACCTTGTGCTTCAAGAACACAAGACATCACCATCCCAACAGCCTCGCAACTCAAGAAAGGTTGTCACAAACTAGAACAAAAAAAAAAGGTGCAAAAAGTTGAGCTTAGCCGTGCGAGGCTCACCGTCTTTCTTCGCTCTGCTGATCTGAACAGTGTGCCAGGTGTCCATCTGCACTGGCTGATGGCTTCTCAGGTATCCAACACCTGAGCCTAGCTCAAATCGGAACTCCACATAGCCCTTGGTCAGACCTACAGATATGAAGTCTCCACTGCCATCCTCCTGTTGGCCATTATACAGAAGTAGCCCTGCAGAAAATAATGGACATATCAAGTCACGCTTTACGCTTCACAAATGTTTTCAAGAATTCGCATATATAATTATTGCTGCAATCTTTTTAATGTGCGCACTGCAGCATTTTAACATGTAGCATCACATGTTTGGTATGTCGAGAAATTCCATGGAGAACCAGAAAACTGTTTTCAGCTAAGTGTTTCATGAGAATAGAAAATAATGGAGTATATACTTTGACCAGAGTTTCTAGAGATTGATGCACTGATACTTTAGTCATAAGCAGCACAATACAGTTAAACTTGCTTTTAATGAACCTCCATATAATGAATTCCTCGATATAACCAAGTTTTTCTATTACCAGCCATTATTCCACAGAAGCACATACATTTACGACTATGTAACAAAGTAACAGTGGAAGACAACTCTATATAAATAATTTTTGCTATGGACAATTCAAGAGTTTTGTCTCAGATTTTGTCATTTTGGAAGGAGTATGCATCTTCCACGACTGCCCCGCCACCGACGAAGCAGCTGCGGCGCGCTCATGGTCCCAGCGACTCCCAGGCGAGAGCGAGCTCTTGTTATTGCGAGCGGGTGTGCGCGAGGCGGGCCTGCGCCCCATCAGCGGATATTGCCAATGTTCTCGTTGCCGCGGGTGCATATGTAGATGTGCCCTCCTCCTCCAAAAAAGAAGAAAACTACTTTCACGTATCCTAAGTGCCACGCGTTTAGTTGGTGTCACATGTGTGAGGCCATGCTGGATGTGGAGGGCGCTTTACCAAATAGTTTTCTGCAGCATCTGTGTCATTTGCTCTTCATTTTTGACACTGTGCGCGTAAGCATGGTTTCACTGCACGCGCGTGGTGTGGCCCCCGACGACATTGAGCTTTGCCTTTTCTTTCTTTTTTTTATTACAGATATTACTACCAAGGGGATGTCAGATTAAGCACTGATCGAAACTTTTCGACACCATGGTGACAACGACAGATCTTCAGAGGTCAACTCATCACGTGTTTACATTTGCCCCGCAAGTTTCAAGGGACTTCAGCCTTCCTGATTAGCTCCGGCAACAACATGACAGTGTGTTTAATGCAGTGCAATGAATGCGATAGCAACAAATTGTAATGTTATATGAAGTAAGGCTGGCAGCCAACTCTTTTGATTTCGATATCGCGGAACTTCCATAAAATGCTTGTGTAAGCAAATACGGCCGACCCATAAAGAAGTGCTCTTTTCATACAGTCCCTTCCCATTGAAAGAGCCCTGGTGATAGCCGGAATAGCGAGCGCACCAGCTATCGCGACCGCGCCCTTTAAAATCGAAGTTCATCGTTGCTACTCTATAGCGACGCCACCCCTTGTTTTTTCACGCTCATTCAACATGGGTATTTTTTTTCTGTTTGAGCATTCGATGGCAGCTCTAACACACGAGGGTATGTTATCATATGCACCCTCCAGGCGATAGAGATAGACCAACTCGTTTGATCTCTGCTTCAGCAGCACTCTCCCGCTTTTACCTACTCGTAAACTTTACAATGCTCAGGGGCATGTTATCAATTTGGACTTGTTACAGAGCATGGCGGTGATGGCGAAAACCCGCCAAGAGTGTCCAAATAATTTCTATCACAATAATAACACATTTTTCACCGCTAAATAAGTGTTTTTAAATTAGCTCTGCCTTCAGTTTCCCTTTTGTTTAATTTGTGTGTTTATTTTTTATACTTTCGTACCGAACCTGCATATAACAAAATCCTCTTTATAACAACATTTTCCTGTAATTTGTCAATTTTATTATATCCAGGTTTACCTTGCATTCTATATTGAGCGAGGCACAGTTGTGCGTACTGAAGTGAAACAAGCTAAAGCAGTGCAAGTAGGAATGTAATATTGTGCTCAGCTACATTTTGCATGCTGCATGATTATGGTATGGGGACGATGTGAAGTAAGGAGCAATTCTTTACGATGATGCACATTGTAAAGCTATTTTAAATACCAAAAAAAAAAAAAGTCCGGTCAGCTTTTTCTATAAAAGCAAGCATCGTAAGCAGCCATTCTTTAAACCAAGAATTTCACGTGCACATAAGTTCTAAAAGTAATTCTCATACACAGTAAAATAATTTTTGACAGACATAATGTTACAAATATGTTAACAAATATGTTGACAGTTTAATGAAATATAAACAAACAAACGCTCAGCTTCTAACAATATTTTGCATCCACAGTCACACATGCAAGAGAAGAAAAAGGCTTTACCATGATCTTGTTCCGGTTTGAATGTTATCTGGACTTCGAACCCCATGTAGGCATTCACAATGGTTGGCAACTTCATGTAAGAAAGAGGAGCCTGAGTAAATCGCGGAAGCAAACCTGCAAAATGGGATGGCGTAAAATGAAGTGTTGCATAACATCTCTTAATTTTGCACTTAGAATGCTAAGTAGCTGAAGTGTGAAGGTTATAGAAATTCTAATCATGTATGCACCAACATTTGAATAATTAATCAATTCTCTGCTATTCAAATCAATACACAAATCCACTAGTCACTACTCAATTAAGTGTCCTTGAATTAAATGCTAATCAATATACAAAAGACAAACACCTATGCATACTGATACCATATACAGTTAGACCTGCCTGTAACGAACCCCCATATAACTAATTCATCAATATTACAATGTTTTTCTATTCCTTGCCATTACTCCATAGAAGCACATGTATTTGCAACCTCTGTGTTACAAAGTGTTAGCGGGGACATCCTTGATATTATATCAACGAATTTTCACCACTGACAATTTAGAAATATCCCCTTGAAGCGCAGCATTCACATATCTGGACGCGTCATGTTTTTGCCAGTTTCTCCGACTACAGTCTATGCTCGTTATAACGTACCCAGGTACAACGGACTTTCGGATACAACGAACCATTATTCAGCCTAAATTTGGTCTGCGTAATAAATTAATAGAGCACAGTTCGCTTTTAACGAACTACGATACAACGAACTATCGGCTACAGTGGACGAAATAAGTGGCATTTTTTTCGTGATTGCACGCATATTGTGGACTTTTGCCGCATTGACACGGGCTCATAACAGATTGGACCACGCCGCTTTCTGCGAGCTAAAGCCATGGTAATGTTAAATTGCAGCTGGCAACATTGGTGGCTTTCGACCAAGCCAAGCCTTGTTGTGCCACAGACATTTTCCTCGTTCAGGAGCACGTCTCACGAGATCGAGCGCTGTTCCGACGAACTGTCTCCCCCCTCCCAGCGCCGCCTTCTGTGCAGAAGAACCGTGCAGTTCCGGGGATAACGTTGCTTCCTCCGCCGAACCACCTTGCAGTTCCCGGTATGGCTGTGTCTCCTCCTCCGAGCCCGAGAACTGGTCTGAGAGAATGGACCACAGACGTTATTTAAGGCCGTGTCAGCCCCATGTTTGAGAGGATTTGCCCCAGTCGACGTTGTCGTGCTGGCCGGCTCTGTAAAAAAACAACAACCTCTGTTGAAATCGTTGCCTGTTGAAGTCGTTGCCGACTTCAACAGCTGGAAAGTTGGAGCGGATCTTGGCAGGCCCGAGGACACCCACGACACCGCTCGACAGCAACGACGAGATTGCCGAAGTCACCCGCTCTGGTTGGGTGAGTGCCTGACGTTCGTCTTTTGTCGTCAGACCTAGTTAGCACAGAGTAGCCAAGTGTGTTTCTTTTTAGATCTTTAGGTGTCTAGTGCCTGGCTGGTTCTCGACTTGCTTCACGTCGTAGAATCTAGCTTCTGAGACAAAGCTCTTTCAGAAAGGAACGTGCACGAGTTGCGGTACACAATAGAGAAGCTCAAAGTGAGGGACCTTCTCGATGTTTGTGAGCAGCTGGGTGTCTCCGTTGCTAGGACAAGCCGTAAAGGAAATATTCTTGATGCCATGAGGGCGGTGAGAATAGCTGAAGAGGAGGTAGAAGAGGCTATGGAGACTATTAAAGAAGGACAGTGGGAGGCTGAGGAGCGTCGAAAACGCGAAGGCGAGGAGGCTGAGAAGCGTAAAAGCCGAGAAGAGCTTCAACATGCTCTTAGAATAAAAGAGCTAGAACTTGAGCAGCTTCGCATAACCTCGGTGCAGTCTAGTCCGCTATCTTTGGCAGACAAAATGCCAAAACAAAAAATCCAAGATTTGATTCTGTTGTTTAGGACGGGTGGAGACATCGCGCTTTTTTTAGTGAACTTCGAGCGCATGCGCGAGAAAATTAGGAAGGTGTCTGCTCCCAGAAGCTTCTGTCAGTCATTCCGGGAGAGGCCGCGGAAGTAATCGCACGGTCCTCTAAAAAAGACTGATGACTACGCTAAGGTCAAAACGGCCCTCCTTCGTAAGTACCGCTTGTCTGCCCAGGCATTTTGGCAGCAGTTTCGGCAAGCAAAAAGGGGCAGTGAATCATGCACAGAGTTCGTGTACCAGCTTAAGTCTAATTTGAAAGAATGGCTTAGAAGTCGGGATGCATACGGTAATCACGACAGGGTGATTGATTGTGTGGCCCTCGAGCAATTCTATCGTGTGTTGCCTGAAGATGCCAGACTCTCGCTTCAGGACAGAATGAAGGGAACAGACATTAACAAAGCTGCTGAGCTAGCTGATGAGTATTATACGCGAAGGAATATTCAGTTGGATCGCGAGGATACAAAAGAGAAGAGGGACTCCTCAAGGCGGCTTGCTGCTCAAAATACAGCACAAAAGATGGCTCCGCCACGTGACGAATTGAGTCAGGGAGCGACTAACAATGAGAGGGAAAGGAGAAAGCCAGGAGAGGCACCTGAGTGGACAGCAAGGGCGAGGAAACGCGTCGACACTGTTCGAGATTTTGAATCAAAACGACCAATTGTATGCTACAATTGTAAAAAGGAGGGTCATATCTCATCTAGCTCTAAGCAAAAGTTTGCTTTCGCTGACATTCGCGAGTCGGACGAGAACTTGAAGTTACTCGAGCCTTACATGCGCGAAATTGTGGTCAACGAAAAGAAATGCCGAGCACTCCGCGATTCAGCTGCGACGATGGACATAGCACACCCATCTTGCATCTCCCCTGGCGACTATACTGGCGAATGCGCCTGGGTCAGACAGGTTGCAGAAGAGCAAAGTGCCTGTTTGCCGATTGCTGCTGTTGTTCTAGAGAGAACTTTTGGAAAATTGTGCACTGAGGCGGCCGTGAGCCCTAATTTACCCCAAGATTTTTCGTACCTTTTTTCCAACAAATCAGAGCAGCTCCTTAAAGAAAAGGGCCAGTCATTTTCATCTCCCCCCGCGTGCATGGCACTCACGCGATCGCGGTCCCGCGCTCTTGCGGGGAAACTTGAGATCTCGATTTCGAACGAGCAGGCAGTCGAACGTGAGACAACTCCCCAGGGAGACTTGGGCCAAGAGGCGGCTAGGGTATCACAGGACATGGAGACAGTAGGGCTCCAGATACGGTATTGGCTGCCGAACGCGACGAGCCTGTGGAGGTGGAGGAAAACAGGGCACTTCAGGAGAACGTTCAGTCGTACCTGCTTGGTCCCTCATTCACTTGTTGGGAAGAGCTCCGTAAATTAGACAGGAACACACTCATCACTGCGCAGGCAAGTGATGATACCATTAAGAACCTGCAGCATAATGAGAAAGAAGGAGTAGCCCGAAAGAACATCTAATTCTGCACAAAGGCAGGGCTCATGTATCAAAAGTATCGGGACGCTGAGGGTAGAACGTTCTACCAGCTTCTAGTGCCAGAGAAGTACCGACGACAGTTTTTGGAACTGGCGCACGGAAATGCCTGGGCGGGCCACCTTGGCATCAAGAAAACAAAGGCGAGGCTCGCACAGGATTTTTATTGGCCTGGATGCTGGAAAGATGTAGAAAACTTCGTGCGATCATGCCGCACGTGTCAAAGAGTAGGAAAATCTACTGACAAACGGAAGTCTCCGATGAGATTAGTGCCTGTTATCACAGAGCCATTCCGGAGGCTCATAATTGATATCGTTGGCCCCCTTTCAGAGTCCCGTTCGGGTTGTCGCTACATTTTAACTGTTTTGTGCGTGGGAACAAAATTTCCCGAAGCGGTTTCGCTAAAAGAGCTCACCTCTCCCTGCATTGTGAACGCACTTTTATCCATTTTTGCTCGTGTTGGCTTTCCAGCCGAGATTCAGAGTGAAAATGGGAGAGTATTTACCAGTTGTCTCACAACAGCGTTTTTTGAATGCTGTGGAATAAAAATAATCCACAGCTCTATAGGACATCCACAGTTTAACCCCGTGGAGAGGATGCATGCTGTACAAAAGCGAGTTCTGAGAGCACTTTGCTTTGAACATAACAAAGATTGGGAGCCATGCATACCGGCAGCACTGTTCGCCATACGATCCGCTCCCCACGAGACAACGGGATTCAGTCCCGCCGAGCTTGTCTATGGAAGAAACTTAAGATCTCCATTTCGGCTGTTGAGAGACTCGTGGGAAGGTTATGAAGAAGACCTGCACGTAGTGAGCTATGTTTTAAATCTGTTGGAAAGACTATCTAAAAGCAGAGAGCTCGTTGAGGAAAACATGAAGGCGGCTCAGAGTTTAGCGAACACTTACTACGACAAGTTGTCCCGGAAGAGCACGCTTAACATCGGCGACCAGATAATGCTGCTACGACAGTGTAAAAAGAACAAACTGTACATGCAGTGGGAAGGGCCAGCTAAAGTAATGTCCAAGCTTTTAGATACAAACTACGAAATAAAACTGGGCCGAAAGAAAGGTAGGGTTTACCGCAGTAAAGAAGAATGGCGATTTGGGCTAGTTGGAACTGGTCAAGAGAGCTATTGCTTCGTCGGCTGTAAGTGCTGGCTTATCCAAGTCATGCCCACACAAGATGACTGATAGTGTAACAATGCAAATTACCAGACTTGTGTCAGCAGGATTTCCAAAATCTGTAATTTCTTCAGTGTGCGAAGCCTTGTTGCAAAAAATCAAACAAAAACAAGAAAATGCAGGAGGAAATAAAGAGCGGAAAAGAGTTGCAGTCATCCCATACTTCCACAATATATCTCATGGTTTGAAGAAGGTAGGCTCGAGATATGGTGTGGATGTAGTTTTATCAGCTCCGTGCAAAGTAAGCCAGATCTGCAGAATGACGGATGAGCGACTTGCGACTTAGTGAAATCACTAAAAAAAGTTGGACATGCGCCGTAAAACACATAAATAAATTTGTAGAATGCGTTGTTGGTGTTGTTTACATGCTTCCTTTAACGTGCGGTCGTTGTTATATAGGCCAAACTGGGCGGTGCATTAATAAAAGGTTAGGAGAACATATGAATGACATATGCAAAGGTATCAGTTCAAACCTTGTTTTGCACTGCAAAAGCTGCGGGTGCCAGCCTCG